AACGGTCATCCAGTGCTTTCAGGTTTTCTATGGTGGTCTAGCTTCAATTGATTTATGATCTCAACAACTGAATTTTCTAAAATTTCCACAAAACCCCTTCTGATACAAATAAAGTATGTATTATCAGGTTTGTCGCTTTTCTTTTGTATTATATATATATATATATATATATATATATATATATATATATATATATATATATATATTTAAAATTGTTTAATAATTTAAACTTTGCATAAGTTAAATGGGTTTTTTAGCGATTTAGTTTTATATGGGATGGGGTCACTAACCCTAAAGCTAACCCGCCTCCTTTATACGGGCTTGGGATCGGCAGTAGCACAAGAGGGACTCCAGGCGGACGATCTAGACTTCGCAGATAACCTGGCCCTTCTGGCGCACGAATACCAACAAATGAAGGAGAAAACGACCAGTGTAGCAGCAGCCTCAGCAGCAGTATGTCTTAACATACACAAACGGAAAAGCAAGATTCTCCGATACAACAAAACATGCACCAATCAAATCACACATAACGGAGAAGCTTTGAACGATGTAAAAACCTCTACATATCTGTGCAGCATCATGCATGAACACGGTGGATCTCATGCAGATGTGAAGGCGTGAATTGGCAAAGCAAGAACAGCATATTTACAACTGGAACTCAAAACAACTGTCAACCAACACCGAGATAAGAATTTTCAACACAAATGTCAAGACAGTTTTACTGTATGGGATGGAAACCTGAAGAACTACGAAAGCCATCATCCAGAAGATACAAGTGTTTATTAACAATTTTCCATGCAAAATACTTCAGATCCGTTGGCCAGAAGTTATCAGCAACAACCTACTATGGAAGAAAACAAACCAGTTCTCAGTGGAGGAAGAAATCAGGAAGAAGCGCTGGGAGTGGATAGGACACACATTGAGGAAAGCACCCAACTGAGTCACAATGCAAGCCCTCACATGGAATCCTCAAGGTCAAAGGAGGAGAGGAAGACCAAAGAACACAATACGCTGAGAAATGGAGACGGATATGAGAAAAATGATCAACGATTGGATAGAATTAGAAAGAAAGGCCTACGATAGAGTGGGTTGGAGAATGCTGATCGGCGACCTATGCTCCACTGTGAGTAACAGGCGTCAGTAAGCATCACTCAATGTTTATTTATTGATAATTTGCAGGCACAAATTTCATTCAAGGAAATTGAATCATAATAGGTAAGTTAAATTTATAGTTAATAGCAAATCAAAAAGACTTTCGAGGGGAAAGAATAATGCATATTATATTAAACCATAACAAACTAAACAAATCTGGTTTCATCAGACTTGTATCGATTGCACATGATTCATTTTCAACTGTTTACACTAAGGGACAACACGAACACGGTAGATTTACAACACATATTATAGGGAAAAAATCGATAATAAAAAATAAAATGAACTATACAATGCCCTGATTGAAACAGAAAGAATAAGTTTCAATAGCATTTTAAGATAAATACATTTTCAGTAAGTTACAGGAATAGTTTTACAAATTTTGACAAAATCCAGCCATTCTGAAATTCAAATTAAACATTATTGAACAAATTTAACACAAGCGATAATGTTCACCGAGATATATTTAAGTTAAATTGTGTATTAAAGTGCTGTGAATATGAAGTGACATTTCCCAAAACCAGGCTTCAAACATGATAATATTTTGAGGATAATCATAAAAGTACTAGTAATGAAATGTCTGAGATTAATCAAACTGTGAAGGTCATCTCTCTCTGACAAATAGCTTCCTTTATCGTTCAGTATGTTGCTACCTCCAATGTATTCACAAGTATGTGTTAAAGCCAGTGTATCAAAAAGTAATAATAAAAAATTTTAATGCTCACAGGTTTGCGTATCACACAGCAAAACATACACAACTTGAATGCTTAAATTGTCAGTTTTATTTACGTAGTTCCCCTAGTGAGAAATCAATGTACGAATAGCGTTCGTGATAATCAAAATGAGAAAATGTTTGATGCATATGAGTTTACTAACACAACACAGTATGAAAGAAGAAGAGAAGCACGTGAAATCTTCGTAAATTCTCATCATTTATAAAAGAGAATTCATAAGTGGTAAAGTTCAGAAATGTTGGCAGTGAAACTAGTAGAAACGGATGATCGTCAACTGGATTTACGATTACATTATTGGACGCCAGAGTAATGGATTTAATAGTTTGGCATTCGTCCAGAAACCTGAAGGTTTCAAGTCTTATTTCTATCCAAGTCGGGGTCCCATACTAAACTGAAACAACTGTCTAGTTTTTCCTGATTTTTACTAGTAGTCCAAATGAGATAAATCTCTGACGAATACTACATAAAATTTATTTTATTGGCTAAACTAATAAAGATCATTATTCTAGTCCTGGTTATTTTATGCTTCTTAAAACAGTATTCGCGTTCTCTAATGGTTATCGTAATAAAAATTGAATCATTACAACGATATTGCATAATCACATTGTATATTCTCATAACTATGTAGTTGATAAGACACACTATTGATTTACGTCCACACATTTGATATAGAAGTAAGAGAATGAAATCCACACGTATAACTTACGTAAAAAGGCATACAAAACAGTTAATATATATATGTATGTATACATAATTAGTTAACCAGGCCAAATAAATATCCTATCATTTTATAGCCTATTACGTAATACAAATAAGATTAATTACACGTATGAGAATTAGTTATAGTTCAATATTATTTTCATAGTAAATCAATAGACTTGGACAAATAAACAACTGATGAATCTACTATTTAATGATTATTAACATAAACAATAAGCAAATCAACACAAGAATTCAATAATGAAAATATCATATCCATTATGTTCTGAATAACTTTTCACTAAGTGAAATTGTTATCCTTTATTGTTACTGATTTTGTTTGTAAACAACCTAAATTGTAGTTATAATACCCACTATGTAGTAAGTCAATATTTACATCTACTGTCAAGGCCAAATCGACCATGCTAATTGATTTTTTTTTTATTTCTTCATTTAAAATATCAGATATTTTCTCCTATGACCTTGGAAAACATACAAATGATTAAATGTTCAATCGAGCCAATAAACGAAGAATTAATATTAAATTAGTTGATGACCTTAGTAAAAATCATTAAAAGAAGAGTTAGAATATTAAAAGAAATGAACAGAAAAACATGATTCACACGTTAGATATATGAGTCATCAAGAAAAACTAAAAGTTTCATGAATAATGTGGTTAATGTTTATTGAGGATTAATAGCATTAATTATTGAAGTGAAAACATACTGTTAAGGCTACGGAAATCTAAAATGTTTGGACAGAGTGTTAAAATGTTGCCAAGACCTAGTTTTAACAACTTTAGTTTGTATATACCAGTAAAATTAGTTACATCAAGTCATGTTAAACTTAATGTAAAAAGTAAAATATAACAGAGGAATTAATGATTCTGATGTATATGTAGCTAATAATTTGGGCTATTGATTTCATCGATATTAAGATTGAATCTTTCACCTTAATTATTTCAACATTTTTAATTGGAAACCATAATGTATAGTAGATTATTAGTTTCAGGAATTTGGCAACAACAATAACAGTTAGAAAAATTGGTCGGCACCATTTTTCCCAACAATTTATTGCCATTGCCAACTGTTGAAAGTGAAACAAGGAACAACTAGCATCAAAACGCAAGAACATCAATTCATCTTACCTAGGATATATAACTTAGATGTTCGCAGATCCTAGTGTATGTATGTTCGCAATGAGACTATAGCCCTTGTAAGATCACTCCAAATGGTGGGGCGCAATAAACTAGTCTACTGAGTCCAGTAGTCACTACTTGTTGAATAAATTCATGTATAAAACCATCATAACCATTACTTAATAGTAATAACCTGGAAAACGAAAATCTAATTAAATTCAGGTGCAGTAGGATTGGCTATTTCAGGAGATGAGTACGTCCTAATTCTTGCGTTGCTTAATATTTGTTTGCTCACTTAATCACAAATGTGTTTACACACGTTTTTGTCCTCGAGGGTAAATACAATTGGCAGTGCAAATCAGACAAGATGCACCGTTTTTCTTTCTTCTTCACTAGTAGGGATGATAAATAGTTGCATTTCATGCATGATGGTGTGTACATTAACCAACCACATCAGATTAAGAAATATAACAAGAGAAAAATATCCATACATATGATTTTTGACATGATACTAGTGTGAACAAACCACCACTGATCAGTAGGATTTTTTGACATGTAACCTTGACCTAAATCATAAGAATTTACCTTTCATTTCCGTACTAAACATCGAAAGTAGAATTTTAAAACTCCACCACTGAAATAAAGGGCGAAAATGTGACAGCTTCTGAGATTGACAGTAACTCAAAAAATCCAACAAGAATGGTGGCAATATCTTTTTATCTATTTCTATGCAATAGGAAGGTTCAACTAACTGATGATTATTTATTGGGAACTCAAAGCCACATACCTATATATATATATATATATATATAGTTCCTAGTAATACAACAGTATACAAAAATCATGAACATTGATGGCAAATATTTAAAATCTAAGCTACTCATAAAATTTTCTGTGTTACATGGACAGTACAGATGAAAGTTTGTACTATGAATTTAAGATTGTAATTAGTGTTTACCCGTATTAAATTTGAAATCATTTAGTTTCAACTTAAAACAAATACGATGCGTTCATCGCGTACAAGATAAACGTTCTAAGTTTGATCCCATGGGGGTTCATAGATAAACACTATAGAGTAGTTATACACTTGAATAAAATAGCCAACTAGTGTTAACTGATTTCCAGTGGATCTCAACGTCTTATCAGCCAGAATATGAAGCTAGAAGAAATCCTTGTCTTAGTAATACACAGCTAACAATCATCTTATTGTCAAACTATTCGTTCTAATATTGACGAATATTCGTATATATCATATAACTGATTAGAATCATACTTACCTCTTTCATCTTGTGCATTATTAATACCCCAATGTAGTAAGGAATTATAGGAAGTTCTAGGACTTGGTGAATTAGATATAGATTCCATACTCGAAATACTACCTTGTTCACATGGTTTCCAATCAGTATCATCAGAGGTAAGTATTATAGATGGTGTGAGATTATCATTATCTGTTTGAGTGTAAATTAAATCCATTTCACTCGATTCAATCATTTCTGATTCATTTTTGTTGTGGCCATAATTTTCTTTATCATTAGTTTTATTGTCATTACCACTGTCACTAGTTTTTTGATGAAAACTTTGACAAGTTTCACCAAAAAAGCAAGGTGTTGAAGGCATTGTTGTTCGTTTAGATGCTAAACTCACATTATATAAGTTTGGATCTGTTGACATGTTCTAATATCATCATCATGTCATATTTTTATTGATCAGTAATATGTAATATTTATATGAGTACCATGTAATTTGGTCAATGTAAATAGTAACTTTTAAAAGCACATATCAGAATTGTCCTACACTTTTCTAATCAAAATCGTTCGGTTTCACAGACATTTTGAAAACGTTACAGTCAAATACTTATATAACTGAAGTAGTTTAACAAACATGACGCTATTCCACTTGATGAAGTGTAGATTATGTTCTCTAATTATTATTATAACATTATTACCAAATAACAGGACAATACAAGTCAGAAAAAGAAACGTCAAGACAACAACATTTACCTTCGATAAAGCTTTTATATACACAAAGAAGATTTTACTTAACATTATTAGCCATCAGTAAAAAGACAAGTGAAAATTTTCATTTATTTAAACCTTGAAAAATACTATCTACCTGTAACTATATTTGCTATACAATATGCTTAATTCTGATTCGATTAACTACAGAAATAGACATACTTATGCCAATACATTAATGTTAATATATGTGTGTAAATTTATACACTGTAACTATGCCCTCGAATAAATGCAGTTAATGTGGGATTAATAAATAATAATAATAAAAAAATTAACTAATCAAAATTTGAATGTGGATTAACATGTTCATGAACTGCATGCATATGAGGGGTATATTAGACAATTTATTGCCCTGATAAGTCTGGTTTCAGAGAAAATTAGAGCTTTATCAAATAAGAAACTATAATATAGTAAGATGAAATGAGTAAGAATATAATAGTAAATAATATATTCTTAATTTTTGAATTTACCTAGACAGTGAAGTGTTCAGCAAAGTAGTTTTTATTTGATATAATACAACGATATATTCACCCTGAATCATGACATATTTCACAGTTTGTATCCTGAATGCCGAAAATTTTGATGGAATCAATCAATTCATAAAGTACGCCGTCACACAGATATCCGATAATGTTCAGTATGTGAAAGAGTAAACAGTCTTGTCAATTTATCTTGGAAATTATTTATATAAGATATCGACAGTTGAAAAATGAGATCTGAAATATTCGGTTGTAATTTACTTGAATGTAAATTCTTATATAGTTGATTTGGGAATATGTGACTCGATAAACAAGATTTATAAAAGTTCAGTTTCACGCGTTCCAATACAATTTTGCATTTATGATTGACAAATTCATCGAACTTTTTAATAGTATTTGCAGGGAGTTTTCTTTTAAGTAATTTTAATCAATTGGCCTCTTTTGATAAATTTCGATGGTGTAATAAGAAGACTATATAGAAATTGCCTCATTAAATTGTGTTTGAACAAATCTTAGTTCCACCGATTACATTGATTAAAGCCATATATATATATTCGATATCTGATTCAATAATCTATAAGTGTTTGTGAATTATGTGCTCAAATAGTTTAATCACAATTCATTCTTGCATTCAATACATAATTAACACTTGTCTTCAGTCAATATTTTCTTAATCATATCCAGTGAATACCCTCCATACACTTCTATCTGAAGTTTGTGCTGATAATGTCGTTCAGAAGAACGATGAAAGCTCCACGACCGAACCATCCAGCTCAGAGAACAAAACTCCATCGAAACCCTCCATACAGCCTCATAGTTTCACAAAGGAAACTTCAGTTAGACTGCTAATTTATATATATATATATATATATATATATATATATATATATATATATATGAAGTTCCACGAACCCGTATGCGGGACAGAGTAAATGATGAAATTAATCTTTTCAAAAACTCATTGGTCAAAATATCTGTTACCAATTTCTGATATTAGACTAAGTAAATTTTCTTTTATTGTTTCTGTGGCTTAAACGCATCAATGAAATCAATTATATATAACATGTGGAAATAAAATAGCTCTGAATTACGAATTTGTTTAATAAATGATAGATAAAATTATAAACTAAGAATAGCTGAGAGAATCAAAGTACGACAGAGTGTTAATCATATATTTTTTCAACTAAACTTCGAATCATTATAGTTTGTAAATTGAATGGAATTATGTGTAATAGTTCGTTTCTTTTTGAACGCATTATTTTCTCGAATGCTATATAATAAGGATCTATCGTTTGCGTAACACTCATTTACTCTATTAATAATAATAAAACTTGTTAGTATATCAGGCAATTGTTTATGTGAGGATTCTTTAAACATTGCCTGACCGTCTATGAAAATTTGAGGTATATGAAATCAGAAAATCATCAAAATTTTACATATTTAGAGTACTTCTTTGTTAAGAGACTTTTATGAAGTTTGCTCTTATTAATTGTGATGACAGGAACAACTGCATACGCATCAAAACTATCTCTACTCTAACATATATATGTAATCTCCCTATTTAGTCTTTAAAAACTAAGTATGAAAGGTTGCATATCTAGTGTTTTTTCATCTACGGGTAATGATCAAAAACAAATTATAATGAGTTTTATTTTTATAAAGACAAGAATAAAAGTTGAGAAAAAATTCTAGTTACTGTGGGATTTTAAGAATCACCTTCAGTCATAGGATAAAGCAACTAGTGATCCTGTTTCAAAAGAGAAATTAAGTCGACAAAAAATGTTGTTTCGTATTATGAACAGTATTATTTTACGTAATACAAACTGAAGTAAAAAAAAACTTCATTACTTGTGTTTTCGGATTGTTTGAATAAGTAATGCGTTTACAGATATGCTTTATATCTCATGCTTAACAATAAGTGTAGGCGAACGTCATTGATTTTTTTCTTTAAACGTTACATAAATCATGTGTTGCCTTCATTCAGAGAGAAAGTAGGAGAAACAGAATGATTTTTCAAATATTTTGAACGAATTTATTTGAGAAATCATTCAATTCCAGTTCAAGTGAGGGATCAAAGACTAAGTTATTAAAACTAAGATGAACAGTGGAGTTTTTGTAATATTTTTTTTGACAGCCTTAAATGATAGCTTGGTATGGATGATATACAGTCAGTTAATCTATTCTTTCAATTATCGGGGTTTGTATTTGTATACGTGTTTATGTAAGATGGTAAATTAGGTATAGTAGCAACAACAGTGGCAGTAGTATCGAAAATTAAAAACAATTCGAGCCTATATTGTTAGCGTCAGAAAAGTGTATTTACAGTCACTGTTAGTTTTCAAAGACAAAGTATATAAGGATAGTCTCTGAACTAATTTATAGTAAAAGTAAACATGATCTCTGGATTAGCTGTTAATATTTACAAATCGTGTTAAATAAAACCATTTAGTTATGTAGTATCTTTCATTACAGAAGATAATAAACAGTAAACGTTATAAAAATGACCGATTAATCATCTGAGTTACTTGTATTTTGAAATCAATAGTTATAATAAAAAATTTAGGTTTTGTAATGGTTGCATTAAGCTCAAACCACTAGTCATTAATGAAATACCTGTATATCAAGTAATATAATTCTCCTTGTAAAGAAAATTGAACGTTCAGTTTCCTACTACTACAGTGAATTCGATCTTCGTTCGTGAATTTAACAAACTATTGTCCAAGTTTGATCATCTTAACGAGATTCAAGTTTGTACAAAATAATTTTACTGTTGTAGAATCCACTATTTATTTAATACTTACGATTAACTTATCCATACAAAAAACATTTTATGAAGAATTTATTCAAGCTTTTATCGATGATAACTCTGCTCGTGATCCAAATCAGAAACGAATTAAAATTTTCGCATCATACGCAATCGATAAATGCGTTTGTAGTTATCACAATAAAAAACTTCCTTTTTCAAAACACTATCTAGACAATTCGGACTTCGCAGATGAACTAGCTCTTCTATCATATACACACCAACAAATCCAGGTTGAGACAAACAGTGTAGCAGGAGCCTCTGCAGCAGTAGGCCCCAAACTACACAATGGATAAAGCAAGATCCTCAAATACAACACGGAGGAAAACAACCCAATCACACATGATGAAAGCACTCTGTAAGAGATGGCAACTTTCACGTACCTGGGTAGCATCATTGGTGAACAAGGAAAATCTGATGTAGACGTAAAAGTAAGGATTGGCAAAGCAATAGCAGCATTCCTACTGTTGAAGAGCATATGGAACTTGAAAAAACTGTTGATCAATATCAAAATCACAGTCTTCACTACGAACGTCAAAACAGTTCTACTGTACGAAGCTGAAACGTCGAGAAATACCACAACCAATTGACTAATTCACTTCTTTAACTAAATATCATTTGGGTCTAAAGATAGTTTCTTTTAACAATTTACTCCTGGAACCCGAGCAATTTGAAATTCCAAAAGATTTATACACCGAAACTTTTCAATTTAAATACATGATGTTTTGTAAAGACGGAAAATGATTTAAAACGTTTTTTTCAGAGCCAAATTTTAAAATACTTATACATATAGCATATAATTGTAAACTGTATATTTTTCGCTGGTTAAAATGAATAACCAGGCCATTTACTTTACTATGTGTGACCACATTCACTTAAACTAATTGCTTGCCATTTTATCCACATTGTATTATTTTTCAATGGTACAATTGTTTTCACCAAGAAAAATGTATGATATTTACTAAAGTGACTTTTTTGGATATATTCCCAAAAACCAGGAATATAGGAATGATTTGAAAATCATATGCAGATTGACCTCTAATATGAATAAAATTCGTATGATAATTTAATAATTAGAATATATGATCAATCAGTTGGGATTCGACATATTAAATTTTGTAAAATTATATGGGATATTGAGATAAATAAATTGCGACACTACTAGTTAAATAAGATTTCTTACGGAAAACAACCTTTAGTAAGATAACCTACTTACTTACGCCTGTTACCCCACGTCTAGGAGCCTAGGCCACCCACTCGCATCTTCCATGCAACTCTATCCTGAGCAATCTTTTCCAGTTACTATTCATTTTTTTCATGTCTGCTTCCAATTCTCGACCCAGTGTGTTATTTGGCCTTCCTCTTTTCTGTTTC